CTTAACAGCAACCCAGAAGAGTAGACTCTCTCTCTCTCTCTCGCTCTGTCTCTCTCTCTCTCTCTCTCTCTCTCTCTCTCTCTTATGCACGTACAGTGGATGGCGGAAATCTTGCACCACCTAGGACATGTAATCTCTAAGTCCTGGAATATCGGGTATGTACGGTTGTTTGTTCAAGATTTGCTCCATCTACATTAAGACTCTGTATGCTCTGCCTAGTACTGCAGCGAAAGCCGTCTTGTGTCCGTGACTTCAGGAAATTAGCAGCTCTTGTTGCGGCACCCCTTTCCATACGTATATGGTAGTTGGCCTAGATACAATACTATAATCCTTCTTATTGGGAACCACAAAATGGGAACCCTAATCTAGGGAATGCGGGATATTGCGGGGGTATGCAGAGGGATCCCTGTTTTTTCTGGAAGCTACTATAGTCCCCCTTAAGTAGATTGAATATGGAATTGACCTATATAATAACAAGATCCCCATATATCCGATATTCAATCTACTTGAGGGGGACTATAAACCCTAGTTTCCATTTTCTTTTCCATTATCCCAATATATCCCCATATATTATATAACCCCAGGCTGGAGTAGGGACTACAAATATTTCGGCAGAGCTCCCCTCGTCCGAGTTAACTTTAGATGTTGAGCCGACCGTAGACCCAGGAATAGGGGTAATCTTGGGGTTGTATAGGGATAATGGAAATTAGAATGGAAACTACTGTTTAGGGTTTAGGGCCATGATTAATAAACCCCCTCCTTTTAAGGGCCTTAATATTAGATTCCCTATTATAATCCCTATTAATCGGGGGTCTACATTAGCACGTATGAGGGCTTTAGATACTGCGTTGCTGTGAAAGAGCTTCAGTTAAGTTTCCATCATGGCAAATCCTATTACTTACTGTTGATGGAGGTAATCTTGCACCACCTTAAGTCTTTAAAATCCTAAGAATTACAGTAGTTTAGGGCCCCTAGGTGGTGCAAGATTTCATCCATCAACAGTATTATACATCCATACTATGGTAACGTTTAGGGTTTGAAGTCCTAAGCCTTTGATGCTGCTAGCCTTCCAGAATGCTCGGAAGCCTTATTTGTAGAATCCAAGGCTAGGCTGTCTTAAGCTGTGGAATTTGGGAACGCCAGGTCTTCGGCAAGTTCCCTAAAGCTGACGAGGCCTTCTGCGCAGTTTCGTGTGGTCTATGCCGTACTTATTCAAGGGCTGTGCAGGCACAGCACTGCATTTATTCATGCTTCTACGTTACCTTAGATCCTAAAGCCTAAGCCGGTTGTTTGGGATTTTGCGGGGCCGAGGGTTTGGGCGTTGGAGTTTTGATTTGTCTGGCTGTGCTAGGTCCCAGGCAACCTGAAGGTGCCTATGCATGATAGATGAGGCTTATTTGCTCTTCACCATGTTCACATAGGAGTTTACATGAATTAGGGGCCTTCTTTTAAGTGGAAAGTGTAGATTGCTCTTGATTCCTGTGATTTGGCACCTGGTGTTGAGGTGCTGAAGAATCTCAAGCATGCGCCATTGTTTAACATCACCGCCTTCAACCAGGACTGATGCTTGACGCTCCCTGTAGCTCTTCCATACCCAGTCGAGGCAAAATCAAGAACCATTGGTGCGACAGCGCGACCATCGCGGAGCAGTAGCACTAGTTGCGATGCTGGTGCAAGCGCTGCGTCGTGCATCCAAGCACGACTCCTTTTCTGGCCCAGGCTCCTTCAAACTTGGAGCCTAGGTCCATGGACATGCCTGAAACCTTTGGCCATTCCAGCCCTCAAGACGCATTCCTCAAGTTTGAAGTGCACCCATCGCCCCGGCGTTTTGTGTTCAGAGCCTTACTGGGTAGTTTCTTGCAGTGATGGGCTCTCAGTGGTATGCCCCAAGCATGACGGCAATAAAATGGATCATGCCCAAACAAGCCAGCTTTCGTGAGCTGCCGGAAGTTCACGCAGGAGCAAGCCCGCGCGAACGTGAAGCCAGGCAGTTCTGAAGTGGTTCCGTTTCGAAAACGGCTACTGCAGCTGTAGCAGCCGCAGTCTTGCTATGATTTGTACCCGTGCCATCATAATGCATAGTTTGTAGAGTATTGAAGGCAAGCAGAACATGAGTGTTACCGTCATGCCCGCAATACTTGAACGGCTACATGCAGGAGAATCTGACACGACAGCCCAAATGGGGTCCTAAAAATAAGGATCTTCACGGTGCGCTTCGTCAATTAAACGGGCTTGGAATGCTGCCAAGGCACCCCTACCACCCCTCTTCAGCATTCCTACACGAGACGCCCCTTGCTCGAGAAGTCCTAAACCTTCAGCCCCAAATTCCAGGCCCTACTGCCTAAACTTAAGCCCTAAACACTACGCTAAGCCCTGAACCCTAAACCTGAATCCTCAAGCCCCAACTCTAAGCTTAAAATCCTGGGCCGTAAGGAAACCCTAAACCCTAAACCCCAACACGACATTGCCCGCCAGGGGCCAAGTGTCGGGTCAAGCGCACCAGCCAAACCTTCGTTTGGGAGTCCGCGTCAACTGAGGCAAGGGGCATTTTTGGGGGTTAGTTTAGGGTTTCTGAGTTGTGGGGTTTAGGGTTTAAGGATTTGGGGTTTTTGGGCATGGGTTTTTCACGTTTAGGGTTTTTTGGGTCTGGTTCCATTACTATAGTAATTTATTTCAAGTTCCGTAACGGCAAACCAGTTTTGTACTTTGTATTTGGTCATTCAGCTTGTACGTCCTTGATAGGCTCTTATTGGGCCTTGTTTAAGGTGCATGCCCGTTGAAGCCCTTCTCCCAATTGCTGGTACTTGGTAGCCTGTAGAAGATGAAGCAAGACTTCTTGTTGATTGCAGTTGTTCTTTTGCAGAGCCTTTGCTGCACAGTGCCAGCAAATGGTAGAGTGTGCAGCAATCCTCAGACGCTGAGTGAAAACTTCTCACCGCAAGCCGTAGCTGTTCAAAAGCCATCCTGCAGGTATACCCTCCCAAGAACTATAGGATCCTGGTGACAGAGAACTCACAAGGGGACTCATCCGACCATGGCTTCCTATCGCCATGTGGTTTGCGCTATCTTGCTGGCGGCTGGGCAGTCCTGGCAGGCTTGGGCGTGTTCATGTGTGCAGGACTCTGGGCTGGAATTCGGGGGAGTGTAAATTTGGGAGCAAACAAGGATTGAGGAAGGGAGTATAGAGGGAGGTAGTTCTGAGCTGTTGTTCTGCCCTAAACCCTAAATCCATTGCAGATAACAGCTGTGGCAAGACTTCTATATTTTTCTTCTGGGGGCCCTGATTTTTAGGAGTGGGGGCCCGCAGCCCTAAACCCTAAATAGTAGTTTCCATCTTATTTTCCATTATCCCAACATTACCTAATACCCCATTAAAAACCCCAATGAAGCCGCAATATAATACAACAAAACCCTAAACCCTATATAAACCCTATATTATAGTAGTTTCCATTTTCTTTTCCATTATCTGATTTCTGTTTGGGGCCGTCAGCCACCCTAGGATCTGATCATGCCCAGCGAGCCCTTTGCCTCTCCTGCTGAGAGTCTGTTGAGGGCGCCGATCGTGTTTGCAGGAAAGGTGGTGTCCGTCCAGCCCGCGGATGGGAAGCCCAAGGACCTACGCTCCTTTAAGAGTTGGGGCTTAGGGTTTAGGGTTAAGTTTAGGATTTAGGGTTTAGGGTCCTGCTCCTGCCTAGTTGGGCGTGGAGGATTGGGTCAAGGGACCAATTGGTGATTATCATGTCCACCTCCCTTATCTCAATGAAGCATGATTGCCAGGATCAATCCGGGTACTGTGCCACATCTCCTGCTGACAGTGACTTTGGGGGCTGGGAAAATCCATGCGAGAGTGGTTCCGGCGACTTCGAGAGATGGAACAAGTGCAGCCGCCGGCACGTTGCCGAGGTGCATATCACGCATGGGCTGAAGGGCATCAGGAAGGGTGAGACCTTCAAGTACAACTGCACGCTTGCAAGCTGCGGCGACTGCAGCTTAGGCTGTCCCGAGGTGGGACTGGAGATCTTGGACGGTACGTCCAACTTCGTGCCCATGAGGTCCATGTGCAGCTCCAAGCGATGTGGGCTGACGGACTGGAACAGGGACCAGTGCCAGCGTTTGTTCGAGGAGGTCCGCCGACAACGACCTGGCAGGAGCCAGCAGATTCAAGTCCCTCTCCCAGTCGCCTTCTCCACGCTTACTGCGAATTCATACTTCCGCAGCGAGCTCCTGCACTCCCTGGTTAAGGATGCCGTGGATTCCGTCAGCATGCTTGAGACGCCCCCGACGAGGTTTGATGTGCAGTCTGCAAACCTCACGGAGGATCCGCAACGCACAGTGCTGGTGATGCCTGCAACAGTGGTTCCCTCATCAGTCTTTGAGATCACTTTCTACATGCCCCAGCAGGTTGATGCAGACGCCGCTGAGTCAAAGCTTCGAGAAGTGCTCGGCGTGCCCTTCAGGTGGCAAGAGGCTTGACATTGCAACAGTCAAGTTCCGTTATTTGACATTTCTTTGCCATGCTAACCTCAAACTACTAAAAAAAAGGTTAAAGTTTGCACCTCATTCACACCAAAGCACATGAACACTTAGGAAGCTACAAAGATTGTGGAGCGCTTCTGTCTGCATGAGAAGTGCCCCATGTGCAAGACATCCTGTGTGGAGACATCACAGACATCGTTGGTGAGCATGCCATTGCCACTCTTCTCTTGAGATTGGCTTCCTCTCGGCGACTGGTAAATTGGAAGCAGCAAGGAATCAAAAGCCGCAAAAGCTACCCGAATTGAAATGCTAGCTTTATGAGATTGCATACAGCAAGCACTCTCACCACAAGCACCGCCATAGCTCAAAAGTTCAATGTACAGCCATAGGAGCCTCTTTCCTTTGCTCAGGGCCCAGTATGTAGTGTCAGGGGCCTCCAGAGTTTCCCTAAACCCCTAAACACTGAACTCTGGCTTTTTCAGAAAATCCAGGGCCCGAGGATCCTACTGCTGCTTCCACTGCGTTTTGGGACCCTTCTTACCTAAGCCAGTCTGGGTTGCTGTTAAGGGACTTAGATAAATCTACTATGATAAGGAAACCTTATTATGCACTGTATTATATAGTAAACAATGGGGTTTCCTCATTATTATAATCCTATATGCCGCAATATACCCATATATGCCTATATTCTGGTAACTTAGATTAAGTTCCTTAACAGCAATCCAGTAGTGGAAGCCCTGGTGGAGAACGCTCTCATGGCCCGTCGGTGTGGTCCAAACCCACGAGGCGTGAGGGTGTGACCACCTCTTGTTGGGGCTTGGGGTTTAGAGTTTAGGGTTTAGGGTTTAGGGGTTACAGTTTAGGGTTTTGGGTTTAGGGGTTACGATTTAGGGTTTAGGGTTACGATTGAGGGTTACGATTGAGGGTTTAGGGTTTTGGGGTTACGATTTAGGGTTTGGGGTTTGGGGTTTAGGGGTTACGATTTAGGGTTTAGGGTTTAGGGTTTAGGGGTTACGGTTTAGGGTTTAGCGTTAGGATTAGGGCTGATAGGCCTTGCCCTCTTGCCAGTCTGGAATGGAGAAGGGAGCTTTTAAACAACCACCTTTCGGGATCCCCAGAAAAAGGATTGTTGAAAATTGTGGCATTTCGGGATCTGTATGCAGTATCGCATTGGCGGAAATACTTAGGAACCATTCGAGTGCTGATATTATGGGGCTTCATGCCCTCAAACAAGAGGCAAGTCGTGCGCGACGCTGGAGATTCCCGGAGGGTGCTGGCTATTAGGGATAATAATGGGGTATTAATTGGGTCACTTAAGAAGGATTTGTCTTGGGATTAGAGATTGTTGTTCTCATTCTGTTACAGTCTGGCTGTAGTCCTGATAGGCAAGCCAGTATAATCAGAAAAATCCAACAAATCCTTTAACAGCTCCAGGATCAGGTCCTTCTGCAGAGCTCTTGCCCAAAAACAAACTCATAGCCCCAGCGGTGCATCAGTAGGAAGACCTGGTTGGAAGTTTCTCAAGATGAGGCGTACCGGCCCCAAGGAAAACTAGAGATTGCAAAGGGTGTGACTTTAGGATGGGTTTGAGGAATGCCATTCGATATAGGGCAAAAAGGATGCCGCCTTGCCTAAAGCCTAACACAAAACCTTTATATTTCTTACTAGTATGAGTATTATCATTATCACTTTTTTTACTATTACTATTATGATTTTTGTTAGTAATTAAACTCTAAACCCTAAGCCTCGCACATGAAGCACTATCCCTTTACGCTTGCAGTTTGGGCCCCTTGGGATGCAGCTTGAACGTTGAGAATCCCTCAACCCTACCATGGCCGGAGGAAACTTTGCACCAGGTAACTTGCCTAAAGTCCTGTAGGGGATATATTGGGATAATGGAAACTATTATTTAGGGCTTATATAGGGGTTATAATGGGGTAATGCTGGGATATTTTCAGGGTATCTTTGGCGGTGCAAGCTTCGCTTAACCCAATGCAGCACAGAATGCTAGCAGCAAGATGATGCAGCCTTGAAGTGGAATCCCCAAATGCCCTTGTACAGTGGAGCAGCGCGTCGCGGCGACCGGAAAAAGCAGCAGGTTACCATGATCTTCCGGGCTTTCCTGTGATTGGGGATGATGTAGAGGCTGGGGTAGTGATCCATTCTTCCGTTCCCTACTCGCAACCAGTAAGTCACAGGCTTTATTTGTGGGTTGGGCATCAGGGGCAGGTCTGCTATCAGTAAGAGCCTATGTTTCGCGGGTAGCAGATGTTCTGCGTACGTGCAGGGCATCTGAGATTGCCTGCAAGCACTGAGATGGAGGTTTTAGTCTTAGGTTTTGGGTTAGGCCCCACGCGCTACTTGTGGTACAGCAGGAAGATGTAGGGACCCCTACTATAATTAACCCTTACCATATCGGTTGTTCTCAAAATCATGGCCCCTTTTGGCACCCAGCTATGGGTTAAGATCCATTTTCTCATGTACCCCCTACACTGAGGGTCCTTTGGAAAAATTTCGACCTGAAACTATAAACCCTCAATCCTGAACCCCCAATTTAACCCTAAGCCCTAAGCCCCCAACCTAACCCGGAACTCAAACCCCTTGAGCCCAAAACCTCAAAATTGCCTAGCTGTGATCTGCCAGAATTGGGACGTCACGGATGGCCCCGTGGACCCCGCTACGGCAGAGGAGACCGTCTCGTCGGCTTTTCGTGGGTAGACTTGTTTTAAGTCGTGCATATTGAACTTATTGACACCGTCAAACTTGGCAAGTCATGTTAGTGACCAGCCGTATTATCGAGAAACGGAAACCATAATGATTTCCATCCTTGCCAGGAGCCAGCATCGTGACAGCACCACTTTATGACGTATTGCAAATGCGAGTGCAATGCTCTTCCTATGTTTTCTCTTACTGCTGCGGTCGTTGCTGCTGTTTGTCTTCTGGCACCTGCGATTCACCGACCTAAGATGTCATCCTAAACCTAAACCCTAAACTTACCCTGACGTTGAAGGGTCTTCGGGTCTGGCATGCTCAGTTCAGGATGGGGACTCCTCTGCAGGCAGCTTGAACCATAGATGTAATTGGGATGGACTTTGTAGAATTCACAGTTGACTTACGGGTTCTTAGTAGGGTATATGGGAATACTGGTGCCCTACTAACTCGCAGTAAGGCTGGGGTGCTAAATGCCGTGGGTTTCTTTTGAACTGCAAAACCCTGCCCTAGTGCCCCAAGATCAATGTCTTTTCCTCTTTAACTCAGACAGACAAACCGTCAGAGCGCCCACAGTGTCAAGTGACATAATGCGGGTCATAATCTTGCCGTTGCATGCTACCGTAGACACTATAGGGAAAACACGCTAAGCCTTTTGGGCTTGGAGCTCAGGAGTCGGATTCCATTATGGTTTCATGGAGCATCGGGGATGTTAACGGCATGTTATACTGTTGATACGACAAATCTTGCATGATCTTGTTATACAGAACTCCCATCAATGTCCAGTGAATAGGGTTCATAGGGTCATGCAGGGTTTTGTTGTCAACAATAGTGCTTCCCAAAGCTTCCGACCCTAGTCCTCCCCGAATCAGAATACTTTGATATTGGGTGAAACGATGGTATCTGTCGCAGTCCCCAAAACGGATCCACCTTATCTGGGTGGATGATTTTTTGAGATGCTAGCTATGTCTGGCAGGCCCAAGTTAGCCTGGACAAGCCGTTCTACCACCTTGAGCTACTGGTTGTTAGTAGGGACTGAAGGAATGGAGAAGAAAAATGGAAATCACCATATAAAGGCCAATGGAAACGACTATAATGTTGGGATTGTATAGGAGCTACGTACTATAGGGGATCCATTCCTCCATCAGCTGCTTACAACGAGTAAGTTAACAGAGGAGTACGCCCGGCGCGTGAGCACGCAGGATCGCAGGTTCATCAGCATCTCGGCCGCATCTGTTTCAGTAGCGGAGGTTGCAAGCCTAGCCAGATGGGGTTGAGAGTCCCTGGAATAAGGATTGTAGTGTTTTTGGATTTGGATTCGGACGGCCTCTTCTTGGAACCCCCCGAATTTCCGTCCAGTGTTAGGTTCATATGAGCCCAAGACTGAGTAATTATGCGGACTGGCCTCCCATGCCTGAAACGTTTGATTGCAGCTCCCGCCCTTGTCATAAGGGTCTCCAAGTGCTCAAAGTGATGAAGGTCAGTGGGGTACTGATAGCACTGCTAATGCCAATCCACAAAAAAAGGTTGAGATGTGTCTAGGCTTCCTTCAAGATGTAGTTTGCAAAATTCGCTCTTTTGCTCCTCCAGCAAACCTTTTCTTTTTCGAGGATGAATGTTGGTGAACACGCTGGGATGGCTAGCCTTACAATGCAACAACAAATTGGACGCCTCAATGCTCTAAAGCAAAAGCGCCCGCTGACAGAAGAAGCAACGCACAGTGACATACCTTCTACCGTACTCTTCCAAAGTTGACAAGCTGTAGTCACGCACAGGCCACGCGACGTTAAATCAGTCCACGATGTCCTGACGTAGTTGTAGAACAATGCGCTGCAGTGTCTTTGCAGTGCAGCGGGTACTTGGCTGACATTTTGATTCATGTATTTCGTCATAGCACTTCACTGCAGTCCTCCCCTTCTCACATGTCTCATACTCCTTTGTACACACCGTGCACCTTCTTCCCAAAGCAGACCCACGTAACCTATCACATATGTCATATCGATGGTAGCGCATGCTACAGGGTTTCATAAAGCGGCTTCGTAGCCTGAACTTATATTGGGATAATGGAAAATAAAATGGAAACCCTAGGTCCCTTGAAAGGGATATATAGGGCTATATTAGGGTTATATAGGGGTTATGTTAGTTATATTGGGATAAGGGAAAAGAAAATGGAAACTACTATTCAGGGTTCAGGGTTTAAGGTTTAGGGTGTGCAGGCGGTGTCGCGCGCTCGGGCGTGAAACGCCCCCGGTCGCGCGCTTGCGTTGCCTGTAAGCCCA